GATGAATAGAAAGTTCAAAAGAACAGCATTTATTTGAAATAGAAATCTTTTGTGACATTATAAATGTTGTTGCTGTCACTTTTGATCGATCTAATGCGTCCCTGATCAATAAAAGTATTACTTTCTTAAATTCTTTTGTTTTAAAACTGTTTCCAACATTGATAATAATCAGAAATGTTTCTTGAGCAGCAGATCAGCATATTATACTGATTTCTGAAGATCATGTGACACTGAAGACTGGAGTAATGATGCTGAATAAATGTTGTTGCTGTCACTTTTGATCGATCTAATGCGTCCCTGATCAATAAAAGTATTACTTTCTTAAATTCTTTTGTTTTAAAACTGTTTCCAACATTGATAATAATCAGAAATGTTTCTTGAGCAGCAGATCAGCATATTATACTGATTTCTGAAGATCATGTGACACTGAAGACTGGAGGAATGATGCTGAAAATACAGCTGCACATCACAGAAATACATTACAGTTTAACACATATTCACATAGAAAACTGCTGTTTTACATTCTAATAATATTTCATAAGTTTTACTGTATTTTTGATCAAATGAATGTGTTGTCTGGTTTTAGGGTGAAATGTGAGCTGAGATCTGATGAGTATTGTACTGTCGAGAGAAACGTTTGAGGAATCAGAGAAACACACTGAGCATCATGGGACTGGACGCTTCTTAAATTGTGTGACTGATCTGAATGTGTCTCAGCAGTTTGAGCTGTTGATCTCGACTAGCTGCTGCTGTGTTTGCTTGAGCTCGCAGACGCCGCTGTATATTATTGCATTGTACTGTATAATATTTATATTCGGCCTTCTTGCATTATTATGCTGTTGCATTATGAATATATATTAAGTGGCATAAAATCGCTTATCGCAGTTACTTCTGTGTCGATGTTCAGGAGCGAGTGCAGAGGAGCTTCCCGCACCCCATCGAGAAATGGGCCATCGCCGACGCTCAGGCCGCGATCGAGAAGAGGAAGAGGAGGAACCCGCTAGCGCTGCCTGTCGACAAGATCCACCCGCTGCTCAAGGTGTCTCTCACACACAATCAGTGTGTGCGCATTTATGCACTCAGGTCTAACATTAGTTATTAAAGCAGTAACCCCCGTGAAGCCGTACTTTACCGTGAATTTATAACAGCTAAGGGGCGTTGTTAGGTTAATACACGGCTTCACGGGGGTTATTGCTTTTATAAAACGGTTACTCCATATACGTAGCAAGGTTTCACAAAATAAAACAGAGCAAATAAAGTGTAATGATATTAATAAACACAGTATTCTTCCACCAAACAATGTAGCTCCTCAGAAACAGTTGTGGTTGCTACAAAGTGGTTGCCGAGCAACACACAGAAGTAAACAAAGGTGTGTGTTACTTTGTAGCATCATTTACAACAGCTTCGAACGCGGCTCAGCCAATCAGAGTCAAGCACCGGAACTCTCCGCTTTATCATTGTTTTTAATTTTAAAATAATAATAGTAATAATTGAATTGATCATTTTTTAGTAAATAATATCATTATAATTTATAATGCATTGTTTTTTACATTTTTAATTAATAATATAGTAATAATTTAATTAGTGAATTTAACAATAATATTATAATTTGTATTTATAAAAAAAATATGATTAATTATAGTAATTTTGTTTATTTATTACTTTATTTATTTGATTTCATAAATGTATTTTATGATTAGTTATTTGTTTTTAATTTTAAATTGTAATTCAATTAATAATTTTTATTAAATATATCATTATAATTTATAATGAATTATTTTAGTTTTAATTTTTAATAAGGATAGTAAGAATTTAAATAATTTGATTTAACAATAATATTGTCATTTTATTGAATTAATAATAATAATAATAGTAGCTTATTTATTTGATTTAATAATATTGTAATTTATAATGTTATTTGTAATTTCAAATATTATTATTATTGCTATAGTAACAATAGAAGTACTAGTAATAATTGTTTTTTATTTTAAAATAAAATTAATAATTTAATTAATCATTTTTATTAAATATATCATTATAATTTATAATGCATTACTTTATTTTTAGTTTTTGATAAGGATAGTAAAAATTTTATTTATTTATTTGATTTGACAGTATTTTCAGATTTCATCCTGATTGTTTCATTTTAATTAATTTAATTTTAAAATGATTGAAATTGTGTCCGTGTCCAAATATACTGGGCTGACTGCAGTACCGTGGCTGTCCAGATGAGGGCGCTCTTGATCATCACTTCAGTCTGTGGTCCCTGTGATTGTGAGTGATGAAGCCACACTGACGCTCTGTCTCTCCTGCAGGAGGTTCTGGGGTATAAGATCGATCATCAGGTGTCGGTGTACATCGTGGCGGTGCTGGAGTACATCTCTGCAGATATACTGAAGCTGGCGGGAAACTACGTGAGGAACATTCGTCACTATGAGATCTCGCAGCAGGACATCACTGTGGCCATGTGTGCCGATAAGGTACGGCTGCACCATTTCTGAGCCAAAAGCTCCAGGTTTGCTGTGCTTGTTTGTAGGACTGCATAATTTGAACAACATTTTGTGATTATATATCAACATGGATGTAAAATAATAATAATAATGATAACAATAATTGTTACTACTACTGAAAATAAATACAAAATACCCAAAAAATATACTACGACTGTAATATTTCACTGTAAAAACAAAACAAGTATTTAAGAAAAATATAATAGTAATATTAATAAGTTATTAATAATAATAATAATACTTTTACATTTAAACAATTGAGGAAAAATTTAATTAAATAAAAAATTAATTGAAAAACTTCCTATTTTATTTATATAATAATATTTTTTATTGATAACTATTATTATTACTACTAAGTAATTAAAAAACGAAATAAAACCAAAATATGAAATATTACTATTTTAATATTTCACTGTAAAAAAAGAGTACTTAAGAAAATAATATAATATAATAATTTTTATTTTACATAATAATAGTTATTATAATAATAATATTACTACTACTACTAAAGATAAAAACAAAGAAATATTATTGAAATATTTCACTGTAAAAAAAAAAATATATATATAAAAAAAAAAAAATAATAATTATTATTATTTTAATTTATAAAGTGTTTTTATTAAAACATAATAATAATTTTAATAATACACATTTTTATTCATAATTGTATTATTATTATTAAATAAAAAATACAAAAAAATTAAATAAGAAAAATTACTATTGTAATATATTTTACAAAACTTAGTAATTAAAATACTATAAAAATGATCATTTAATTTTACGATACAACTCTAAAATGACTTTATAATATTCATGGCTGTCTTAATTTCTTCATTTTCAAAACTTTTATTTTGACGGAACATCGCTGGAGCTTTAAAGCTGGTCTTTGGTTGATCAGCGTTTCTCATTCTAAGTCTGTAGAGATCGGCTTGTCGTCTCATGTTTGGTTCATAAATGCATATTAAAGCGCCTCAAACTCAGATCAGATGCAGAGATGATCATGTATTGTGACTCGCTCAGGCCCCGCCCAGCCGTGTCTCAGGCTCCGCCCAACTCTGACTCCGCCTGACTGTGTCTCAGGCTCCGCCCAACTCTGACTCTGACTCCGCCCGGCCCTGTCTCAGGCCCCGCCCAGCCCTGTCTCAGGCCCCGCCCAGCCCTGTCTCAGGCTCCGCCCAACTCTGACTCCGCCTGACTGTGTCTCAGGCCCCGCCCGACTCTGACTCCGACTCCGCCCGGTTGTGTCTCAGGCCCCGCCCAGCTCTATCTCAGGCCCCACCCAGCCCTGTCTCAGGCCCCGCCCAGCTCTGACTCCGCCCCTGTGTCTGTGCTTGCAGGTGCTGATGGACATGTTCCATCAGGTGGAGGAGGACATCAGTGTGTTTCCTCTGGACGAGGAGCCGTCTGCGGCCGAGGAGCAGATGTACTATGACCTGGTGAAGACCTTCATGGCGGAGGTGCGTCAGTATCTGCGCGACCTGAACCTCATCATCAAGGTTTTCCGCGAGCCCTTCGCCTCCAACACCATGCTGTTCTCCCCTCACGTGAGTCCCGCTCCTCTGCTCTAGGGCTGTCGCGATAACCGCAATACCGCGCTATTGATGAACATTTGAACCCTTTCCAACAATGACTGTATGATTTTGAGATCCATCTTTTCACACTGAGGACAACTGAGGGACTCAAACACAACTATTACAGAAGCTTCAGACGCTCGCTGATGCTCCAGAAGGAGAAACCATGCATTAAGAGCCTTTTGAACAGAATGGAGATGTGTACATTTTTTAAATTTTATCTAAATATCATATTTTTATTCATTTAGCGCTGCCCTTCAGAGGCTACAGAATATACTTACATGTTTCCCAGAAGACAGAACAACTATCACTAAACACACAAACACACAGCTGTGGATCATTCAGCTAACAACACAGTATTAAGAGTCAAGGGGGTGGAAACTTTTGAACGGGTCATCTTTATAAATTCAACTATTATTTTCTCTTGTGGACTATATGTAAACATCTTTTGTGTGAAATATCTTATTCAGGTCAGTGCTAAATAAACAATAACATGCGTAGGAGATTTACTAAATATCTTCATGGAACATGATCTTTACTTAATATCCTAATGATTTTGACCCATACAATGTATTGTTGGCTATTGCTACAAATATCCCCCAGCGACTCAACACTGCTTTTGTGCTGCAGGGACACACGTCTCCAAATGATTTATATAACGATGTCTTTGTACCTTTTAAACAATTAAATTAATTTAAGTATTTTTGGCAAAGTGCAGTGACTACAGTCAGACCTAGATTTGAAAATCAATGAATTAGTGATTTTTTTGTTGTTGTTGTCCAATATTATTGTTAACAATAATAAAAGCTTTTGTTTAATAATATTATAATTTATAATAAATTATTTTATTTTTCAATGTTCTGTTAAAATAATTGTAGTAATAATTTAATCATTTTATTAAATATTGTAATTTCTTATAAAGCATTTCATTAATTAATATTAATAGTAATAATTTATTTAATTTACTTATTTAATATTAAAATATTTAATATACATTTAAATTATTTAAATTTACGATAATACTAGTAACACTTTATTTATTTGATTTAATAATAATATAATTTATAATAAATTATTTATTTTATTTAATATTGATATAACAATTTATAACAACTTTAATAATTGAAGGTGTTATAAGAAATTATTGAAGTTATTCTAACTTTAATAATTTAAATTTAATTAATAATAATAATTATTATTATTACACTTTATTTGTTATTTAACAATAACATTATAGTTTATAATAAATTAAAATATTTATTGTAGTAATAATCATTTAATCTAATAATACCACTTTTAAAATTATTTTTAAATAATAGTAATAATGTAATTTGTAAATTAATAGCATTAATGTAATTACTTTTATTTGTTTTCTTCCTAACTATATTATATTGCATAATAAAGTACTTTTTAATTAATTAAAAACAAAATGTAATTTAATTATTAATAAAAACAATGTGTAATAATTATTTAATCATTTAATATTTTTATTTAATAGTAATACTATTTTTTAATTTGTTTAATTTTCAACCCATAATAATAATAGCAATAATTTAATTCATGTAATTTTAATTAAAATTTTTATTAATAATAATAGCAGTGTTAGCAATATTTTTATTTAATAATACTATTTTTAATCATTTGTTTAATTATTCATTATTAATAATAATAATAGTAATCATTTAATTCATGTATATATTTTATTTAATAACACAATTATATTTTAAAAAGGATTTATTTGTAACATTCGTAAAAGTAATTCTTATTATAATTCATGTATTTATTTCTTTTTTTGATGTGTATCGCTCAGCACTACTAGTAAGATGATTGTGTGTGTGTGTGTGTGTGTGTGTGTGGCATTTGAGCCGCTTGTTTTTCCTGTCGTCGATTAACTCTGAGGTGTGGGCCTTTTTCAGGAGCTGGCCTTTGACCCCTACGAGACGTACGCACAGGATATCCTGCGTAGCGGCTTCCACGATCACTTCCTGAGTCAGCTGTCCAAACCCGGAGCGGCCATCTACCTGCAGGTCAGAGGTCACAGACGCACTGGAGATATGAACACACACACACACACTCTCTCACTCACTCACTCACTCACTCACTCACACACTCTCTCTCTCTCTCTCTCTCTCTCTCTCTC